GTCGGCTTCTTTCCACACTCCTTAATTTTTTCCCCATGTTGTCCGGTACCGGTATGATCTCCACAGCTTTCTGCTTCTTTTGGAGTCCCTCCCTTATTTTCTCCAAGGCTCTAGCCCCTCGAAAATCATAAGTTTTCATTAAAGCATCTTTATATGATAGCTTTAACGAATTCTTATAATTTCTTGGGTCTTCAAGGAGTTTCCTCGTTTCGGCAGAGTCTTTTTTCGCGGAGTCTGATTTGTCCTCGGCGATTTCCTCTGGCGAAGACTGGTCGTGGGGTGGAGATTTTCCCCCATCATTTCCTCCTGCTCGCGTCGAATCAGCTTCGTCGAAGTAGATTTTCCCGGAATCCCGCGGCCGTTTCCGGATCTTTTCCTTTTCGCCAGCTAGATCCGCAATCACTGGCGACTCCCGTTTTTTGTCTTCTGATTGGCCGAAAGATTTCCGCCACTGTTGCGTGCCCGATACTCTGCGCGTGCGGCCTTCATTTTGTTGCAGTCGAAGATTCGGTGGCCCGGTACCCCGCAAAAATCACACGTGTAGTTGGTGTTTTTCGGACGTGGCCGCCCGTCGAATCTGTCGATCTCCATCGGGTCGGCGAACGTGGTGTGAGCCGAGCGGTCGCCTTGTCGCGTACTGCCGACGTGCGTCCGTCGTGTTCCGGCGTTGACCATGTCGAAGCGCTCCGCGGCCGAAACGACGTCACTGTAGCTCGCGTAGTTTGACGCTGCCACCTGTCGTTTGACTTCGGTCTTCAGCCCTGCGAGGTACGATTGCACTTTTTCCCCTTCGGTCAGGTCGGGAATTCGGTTATAAAATTCTTCCATCTGCTGCGTGTACTGTGCTACACTCCTGAATTGTCGATGGCGATGAATTTTTTCGCGGGCAAGGAAACCTGAATTTATCGGCTCGAATCGTTTGAGCAGGTCGGCGCGGAACTGCTGCCACGTGGCTTCACCGTGGATGAAGGTGCTGTTGCCGCCAATCCACTCGAGTGCCGGCCCTCGCATCAGTGTCGCCGCGAGTCGTACGCGTTGACCGTCCCAGACTGGCGAGCTCCATCCGACGGCTGCGAAGTAGATCTCCATCCCGGCGATCCATCTGCGGGCGTCGGAGTTTCGATCGCTCGGATCGAACGGCTCAGGTGGGCGCGGTTTTGGAGCCTCGAGAAACTGTTGCTACTGCTGCGTCGTCGCCGTTGTCGAGTCGTGCTGCGCTCCGGCGAGTCGAGTTACTCGCTCGAACTCGTTTCGCCACGCTTCGCGATTCGCTCGCAGCTCCTCCTGAAGAGCGGCGATGCGCGCGAAGAGTTGCTGGGTAACCTCGGCGTTGTCGAAGGTTGCCATCATGTTCAAAACAAGCGCGGGAGGGGGAATTCACAAAACGCGGAGCTGGTGCTTACCAGAATCGGCGTCGAATTCGTCGCCCCCGGCGGTTTTTCGAGGCAGGTTTTCCCGCTGCTGCTGCTTTGTTGAGCGCGACCGAGTGAGAAAAGCTCTGATACCAAGTGTCACAGGATCGAATGACTCGAGGATCGATTGCACTATCGATCAGTACAAGGTGCTTTTATACGTCCAGAGTACATCAGGTAACCAGGTTTATCGTATCCAAAGGAATAGACCCTTCTAGAATATAGAATCACCCTGCGTATAGCCACGCGAGGCCATTGGCTTTAAGGGATTACGGCAGGATTACGCTGGATAATGTGCCAGTACATCCCAAGCCTGGTCGGTGATATAATTATAATAGCAGGATCAACCAAAGGATAATGGAAGAATGGAGAATAGGAAACCAAATGAGATGAGATAAAAAGAAGAATGAAATAGGAAGGAGATAAGAATAGGACAAGTGGTGTAACGGGGTCGTACTCTCACAGAATCGTTTCATTCCCTCATCTGCAAATATGCCCCTAAACGCATCAGATTCCAGGGCAGCTTTGTGGCACGGACCCACCTTGATGTCTTGCACTGGAACAATTGTATGGATAGACTGGTAAAGGCCTATGTGACGCGAGTGGTGCGAGTAACACGGATTCGTCGCGGAGCCCATACACGGGTCCTTGGGAAAATGGATTGGAGCTGGGTGGACCGAATCATGGATGAGTGGCAACACCCCATGAGGCAAAGGGTCAATGAGGAGCGGGACGAGGAGGGAGAGATGTCGCAGGATCGAATCTGTCGAGGAAAGGTTGCACTATCGATCAGTACAAGGCGCTTTTATACTTCCAAAGTACATCAGGGAACCAGGTTTATCTTATCCTAAGGGAATAGACCCTTCTAGAAAATAGAATCACCCTGCGTATAGCCACGCGTGGCTATTGGCTTTAAGGGATTACGGCAGGATTACTCTAGATATAGCGCACCAGTATATCCCGAGCCTGGTTGGTGATATAATGATAATAATAGGATAAACCAAAGGTTTATGGAAAGGAGAAATAGGAATCCAAATGGAATGAGATAAAAACCAAATGGATCAAAATGGAAAGAGGAATGAAATGGAAAAGGAGAAAGGAATGGAACAGGGTCGTACTCTCACAAGAGAGGCACGAGATGATGGGCTCACGTCGGAGGATCAGCAAACGTCACCCATCCCTCCAGCACAGGATGGTGTGCCCGTTGGCACGCCCCTCCACCACGATCAGCGCGGCGACATGCAGCGTGCCCAGGTTGTCACAGAACTGGTTGTCCGACCACTTTTGCGTGAGCGTAAACAATTGCATACTTCGGCAAAATGTCATGGTTGCAGTGTACGGTTCACGATGTGTCCCTAACATGCCTTGCAACCCCTCTTTTCTCGCAGGGAACGTCCTCAACACTGTACGGTGAGAGGACATCTGGCCGTTCCAAGGTGGCGGTCATGTCCTCGCGCCGCCCGTTTCATACCGCCAAGGAGAGCTAGCGGCACCCCTGGCAGTTAGCTTGCAGGTGAGATTTCGGGCGCCCACTTTTCTATTTCCATAGACCCCCACGAGATATCTCGTGCACGTGTATGCACAGCATAGTGCACCGACTCCCGTCTCTTTCCCCTTTACATGCTTCCTGTTATTATCTTTGTCTAACTTTCCCAACACCACATCACAAATTCGAGCACTGTTGCCACTCCTAGGGACAGCGTACACTCCCACCACTTCCCTCCTCCCACCCTAGCCCACTCCGGCCTTTGGACGTCCTTCGCTGGCCGTGCTACGCGTGCCCCTCTTTACTCTCTGCTCTACCCCTCTTTACTCTCTGCCCTGCCCCTCTTTACAACTCGGCTCTGCTCCAAACCGGTACACTCGGCTCTGCTCCAAACCGTTACACTCGGCTCTGCTCCAAACCATTACACTCGGCCCTGCCCCTCTTTACGCTCAGCTCAGTCCCTCTTTACACTCAGCGCTGCCCCTCTTTACACACTGCATTGCCCCTCTTTACACTCAGCTCTGCCCCTCTTTACACTCTGCACTGCCCCTCTTTACACTCAGCTCTGCCCCTCTTTACACTCTGCACTGCCCCTCTTTACACTCAGCTCTGCCCCTTTTTTCTCAACAGCCCTGCCCCTCGTTACACTCTGTTCTGCCCCTCATTACACTCCCACTACTTCCCTCCTCCACTAAGCCCACTCCGGCCATTGGACGTCCTTCACCGGCCGTGCACCTCGATCCCAAACCCCCACCACCACTGTACCACTACTACCGCAGTACAGTGCTTCCCCCCCACCTTCCCGGGCCTTTCTGCCACCATGGGCATGAGTTCCTTTTGCAAGGTACACACTCACCGCCGATGTCATCTATTCCCTGAAATTGGCGCTCTCCCCATCACCTCTGAACCTTGCAATCAACCCCTCTTCCCACTCTTGCCCATCCCGTATTTTCCCTTCCCATTTTCACTCCCCTGCCCGTATTCACTGGCTACTCTCCATGCCTCAGCTTCAATAGTTGTCGACATTGTGACTCGTTGCTACAAGCCACTCTCACCTCCTACCCATCGGAATGACCTTTATCGGCCATTTTGGAGCTTCCCTCAAGCGGTTACCCAGGCACAATCAGGCCAATTTACCTTGGCTATCCGACTCTCGTATTCACATAATGTTGAGTGGAGGCGTCGTTGTTTGCGCGCTATAAAGCGACTCACCGTAGTCTACCTCCACAGCGGTTTGCACCTGGTGCATATATTGGGCATGGTTTAGTCAAACGTTAGGTTGTGCCCATATGGGTCACACAAAACTAGAGAGATCATACTTGTGTTGCTGCTCCCATGTTGTGTCCCAATGCAATAACGCTGGTACAGTTCTAAAAGGAGCTCATAGTGAAATCTATAGTGTCTGGAACAAGCCAATGCTCCTTGAATGTTGAAACCTCGTCAGGCGTGCAGTAATCATACACCCCTCCATCTGGCTCAGGATACAGTGAACCAACCACCACGTAAACCAGCCATGGCAACTGAATGCGCCCTATCTCTCCACATCCCAAGAGCTCCGAATATCACACATAGACCCTGAACCGATGATTCTTGGGCTCCATCCTACGCCCATCACTGTCCACCAAAATGTTCTTCCCACAACACACCCTCACTATGTCCTCAACAGTGCATTGGGTTTCGACGGGATCGTTGGGCGATTCTTGGGACAAACCTAGCTCCTCAATAGCCCACTGTTCTAAAACCTTGTACTGTTTTGGTGCAACCTGAGCAAACTCCTCAAGAGACCACGAATCTGCCGCCTCAAATATTGCAGGTAGTTTTCCAGACGGGATCCTAACCCTCTTCGCCTGTGGTGGGCGTAGGGCAGGCCGGGATCTCGCTTGCCCGGGGGCGCGCTGTGACCGAAAGGTAGCGGTGGAGATGGTATCGGCTGACCCTGTTTCCTCGTCACTGTCGCTGACATATCGAACCCTAACAGGCCTGGTCCTCCTGCGACCTCGACGAGACCGGAACATGCTGGCCCCAACGCTGGTGGAAGTGCGTGGAGGGGGGCACAGTGAGAGGTGGTCGAGAGGGTTTGTGCGGCGAGAGCACATGTGTCAGTGGATACACATGGGGTTTTCTGAATAACTAAGCTTCTCTCTGGCTCTGTCTCTCTCCTTGCTGCATACTCTCACTCTGTCTCTCTCCCCATCTCTCCCTCTCTCCCTCCCTCCCTCTCACTGTGTCCCTCCCTCGCTCTCTCTCTAACAGTCTCTCTCTCTCTCTCTCCTCTCTCTCTCTCTCTCTCTCTCTCTCTCCCTCTCTCTCTCTCTCTCTCTCTCTCTCTCTCTCTCTCCCGCTCTCTCTCTCTCACACACACACTCTCTTATTCTCTCCTGCCCCCTCTCTCTCTCCCCAGCGCCCCGAATCCCCAAGGGAACGATGCCACACTGATTGAGGGGGAAGGGGGGACTGGAGTAGGCGGTGGGCATGGGAGCAGGAAAGTTGGGGGGGGGGGAAGAAGGCAAGGATGCAGCAGAGAGTTGAAGAAGCCAGGAGAGGAGAAGGAGGCCTGGAGTTGGGGGAGGGGGGGAAGGGAGTGAGGGATTGGGGGCGCCAGGGAGCGATGAAATGAGGTGAGGAAAGGATGGTCCTCCCCAGAGGGAGGGGACGGATTGGGGAGATGGGGGTAAAGGAGAGGGGGGGAGAGGAGGTGATGGGAGAGGAGGTGAGGGGAGAGGAGGTGATGGCAGAGAATGGTTTAGCTGCCATCCAGCTCCTCTACCCATCTCTCCCTCCCTTCTCCACCTTGCAATGAGCCCATTCCCCCCGCTATTCTTTACTCCGCATCTCCACACTCCTGACCACCCATCCCCCCCACCATGCCGCATCACCACACTGCCATCCACGCTTCCCCCCCACTACTCCGCAGGGCACACACTCCTCTCCGCCCTTCCCCCATTCTTCGCCTCTCCCCACGCTCCTATCCATGTCACCCCCTCTCTAAACCACCTTACCACACTCCAATCCGCCCTTCCCCCCTCTCTAAACCACCTTACCACGCTCCTATCTGCCCTTCCCCCCTCTCTAAACCACCTTACCACGCTCCTATCCGCCCTTCCCCCCTCTCTAAACCACCTTACCACGCTCCTATCCGACTTTCCCCCCTCTCTAAACCACCTTACCACGCTCCAATCCACCCTTCCCCCCTCCCTACATCTTAACCACCTTACCACACTCCAAGCCGCCCTTCCCCCCTCTCTAAACCACCTTACCACGCTCCTATCCGCCCTTCCCCCCTCTCTAAATCACCTTACCACGCTCCTATCCGCCCTTCCTCCCTCTCTAAACCACCTTACCACGCTCTTATCCGCCCTTTCCCCCTCTCTAAACCACCTTACCACGTTTCTATCCGCCTCTCCCCCTCTTTAAACCACCTTACCACGCTTCTATCTGCCTCGCCCTCTCTCTAAACCGGCTTCCCACGCTCCTATCCTCCTCTCCCCCTCTCTAAACCACCTTTTCACGCTCCTATCCGCCCTCTCCCCGTCTCTAAACCACCTTCTAACGCTCCTTTCCGCCCTTCCCCCCGCTCTAAACCACCTTCTAACGCTTCTATCCGACTCCCCCCCTTTCTAAACCACCTTCTTACGCTCCTATCCGCCTCTCCCCCTCTCGAAAGTGGCGCGGCGAATTGGGGGGGAGACGAAAGTGGCGCGGCGACCTGGGGGGGACACGAAAGTGGCGCGGCGAGCACTGAGGGAAACGCAAGTGGCGCGAGCGATCTGGGGGGGAGACGCAAGTGGCGCAACGAGCTGGGGGGGAGACGCAAGTGGCGCGGCGAGTTGAGGGGGAGGCGCAAGTGGCGCGGCAAGCTGGGGGGGAAACGGGAGTGGCGCGGCGAGCTGGGGGGGAGATGGGAGTGGCGCGGCGAGGGCGCGGCGAGCTGGGGGGAAGACGCAAGTGGCGCGGCGAGTTGGGGGGGAGACGCAAATGGTGCGGCGAGCTGGGGGGGACAACGCAAGTGGCTCGGCGAGCTGGAGGGGAGACGCAAGTGGCGCGGCGAGCTGGGGGGGCGATGCAAGTGGCGCGGCGAGCTGAGGGGGACAACGCAAATGGCGCGGCGAGTTGGAGGGGAGACGCAAGTGATGGGGCGAGCAGGCCTTCGTGGTGGCGTTGCTGAAATATATGCTCAAGAGGGAGCTGGCCGAGGTGGGGGAATTAGGGCGATCTGCGAGCAACGACTCAGTTGCGTGACGAATTCATCGCGTGGTGAATTTGGCGGGACGGGTGACACTCAAATACGAGGTGTGAAACGGACGTTTCTCGCGTCCTGTTTCGATCGCGTTTTGGGCGACGAACGATTGTTGGACTACGAGGCGCTAATGGCGGGCGACAATACTGCTCCGTTGTCCATGCCTATGCCCTACTGTGCGACTGGGTGGGAGGTAGGCGTCGTGCACAAGTTTGGTTGGTGAGTTTGGACCAATCGGAACGCTCATTGGCCTTATCGTTGAGTGTCGCTGGTTATTTTGGGTAACCCGGTCAATGACGGTTGGGTTTCCAAAACCTTTGGATTTGGTTTTTTGCTTCTTGAGACCCTCGCTTTAAGGAATGGAAAATTCCTTGAAATTTGGGCTTTTCGTCCTTCGGAGAAAACGAGCTGAACATGAAACGTGATCTGCAAGCGAATGGGGAGCCCTCACGACTAATACTGGCTAAGTTCTGCAAGCATTTGACGTTGACGTCGACGTTGACGTTGAGGAAGCCAGAGAGCGACTTCGAGAGCACTGGTTACCACCCAACCCAGGTGCACATTCCCAACCTCGCTTGGAAGCCACACGGCCAAATCGTGGAAAGCGCAAGCGAAAGGAGAGGAGAGATTTTCAAAATTGCGCAACAAAAAATTGCTGCCCCAGGGCAGCAGAGATATATTACGGGGCAAAATGACGAAAAATTAGTGTTGTGTTTGGTGAGATGCCCTCACAACCCCACTGCCTCCCAACTGGGTTTGTTCAGCTGCTGTTTTTTTGCAGGGCAGGCCCAGGTACGCGAGGTGGGCTAAAGTGGTGGCGGCTGTATTTTTGGGGTGTGGAGGCCTAGTACACCCTTGCGCCTGATGTAACGCCGGACGCAAGGTAAACTCCGCGATTGAGCGAACGTCAGAGTTGCGTCACGTTTGCGTCGGATTTGCCAGGGAGGGAAGCGAGGGGGGTGTTTCCCTGACGTAGATGTAATCTGTAGATGGAGCTGTTCTGCAGGCATGTCGATGTAACCAGGTTCGGGTACGTTGTGCCAGGTTTGGGTGAAAATTTGCGGGCTGACCCTCGATCCGAAGCAAAATCTCTCGCTTTCGTAAGGTGCTCTGATGTAAACTGCACTTTCCTTTTTTGCCTGCAGAACTCAGCCGCTATCTGGTGTGCGAGTGACAAGTCCTATGTCAATCAACAGATTGAGGAGTGATTCCTGCGTCATCTGACGATGTCAAACGCAAGAAGACACCCGAGAAAACTATGTTTTGCCTGTGTCGACGATCGAAAGTTCTAGCCTTGACTGCGAACAGACGAAAACGGTAACGAACGAAAGCGGAAACTCCGGGAGTGGTTTCGTTCGGAGGATTACGAGTGTCACGGCGCGCTTCTTTCAAGTTGGCGAAGGTAATGGAAGTATTCGTGAAGGGCAACAGTTGTTAGTAAGAAGGGAAACTATTTCGTTAACGTGTTCTGGGGTCGCTGGAGCGTTTCGGCGTCGATCCGCGACACAAATAATCGCACATCCGATAGCAATGCCTGACATTCCGTCAGCTTCAGAAGACACTCCGAAGGTCTCGGAAGACACGTGGTTTGCCCCACGGATGACACGACGTAGGAATGGGCCCTGGATGGACTTCTGTAGCACATTCCACGCTGTTCAAGCATCCTCCTCACGCCAGTCTTCCTCTGCACCGCAAGGCTTTAATCCGTCCCCCAGCATGCAGTCGGGCCAGCAGCGCAAGCTTCCGAGCAGCGGCGGTGCGGCCTTGCCGCAGAAGCGCTTCTACCGCGCGCGAGCGCACAGCAACCCCCTCAGCGACAACCTCTTTCCTGTGTAACCACCTCTCTCACCCACCACCGTCGGATTCCATGTCGGGGGTTCTCAGCCGTTATATCGAGTCCCTTGCATGTGTCGTAGGCCTGCGCTACGTCAGCTGACAATCGCGTGTACCTAAAGCTTAGTTCGTGGCTGGGATTTAGCGCGAAGTCTTGGTTACAGTGCATCAGAAACCGTTTTAGAGCGGTTGTCGGGGATAGAGGGTGCGTCGTAAACAATGGCCGTAGGATGGGATATGCAGCGTGCAGTTTTGAGCCTGCGCGCCATCGCAGGTTGAAGGAGGGCAGATCCCAGTACTCATCCGCGCTCCTTGCCCTTCCACTCTCATCACTCTTTCTCAGCAACTGCCGCCTCTTACGTTTTCAGCGGACTGCCTCGCGGGACGTTTAGTGTCCGCCGTCCGCCAGCGAACCCCGAGAGCCGTAGGGAGCTTTTGAGGCGACTTCAAAGTCACCGCGCATTTCCGTCACGTCAGCGTTATGCCTAATTACGTTGCCCAGCCTCGGCGGGCCAGAGCAGGGGCTGATTGATTCACACCAGTCGATGCAAGGTTAGAGCTGAGGCCTGCGCGCCTCAACGGCTATCAGGTCGGGATGAGGGTTTCATGCGCGTGAGCTGTCGGCTTGCGTTTCTATTGCTAACCCTCTCTAGTTCACGAAAGTCTGGGCTTTCGGGTTTTACTAACTGAGGTTTATCCTTGTGGGCAGCCCCCTATCTGCATTCCCCCTTCTCTCGTCTGATGTCATCGTTCCACTTCCCCGTCTGTGCTCTCCTACCTCCCGCTCGCCCCTCCCCCACCACTTCCTCCCGTTTCCCCTCCCCCTTTAACCCCCTTCCCCACACCTCCTCTCGCCACTCCTCTTTGTGTCCTGTCTACTGCCCCATGTGGCTGGCGGAAGTGGGCTGGTCCGCGCATTTCTCCACCTCCTACCCCCCCACACTGCTACACCACCTCCAGCTGCGGCTGCTGTTGCTTCTCCACCAATTTTCCCCTCTCTCCTCCCCCCCCCGCCTTTCCCCCCCAACTCCTTTTCCCTGTGCACCCCGCCCGCTCCCTCGTGTGCCCCCTTATCAGCCCAGTATGCCCTGCAGAGGTGGACTGGTCCGCTCACTTCCCCGCCTTCTTCTCCCAGACTGCTGCTGGGGCGGCTCAACTGCCTGCTAGCGTTGCTGGCGCTGCCGGTGCTGCTGGTGTTGCTGGCGCTGCCGGTGCAGCCAGTGGCTCTGATGGCGCGGCGGAAGGCGAGGCAGCTGCCGCAATCGACACAAATGGTGCGGATCAGGGGGGGACTGTAAGGGTTATGAGGCATGGGGGGAACTGTGGATAGACCAAGGGCCAGAGACGGAGAAAGGGGATGGAAAGGAGGGATAGAGGTAGTGTGGACCGCGGAAGGCAGGGAGGGAGGGAGGGCTGACTAGATAGGGGGAGAGATGGGCCTGGTAGCGAGGTGTATAAGTTGTTGAACGGGTCCTGCAGCTGACCGGCGTGGGAAAGGGGGCCGGATTTCCTCCTGGGATCACTGAAAGCCCCCCCAAAAAAAAAAAAGAGGTGTATAAGTTCCCCCCCCCCCCCCCCCCCCCCCCCCGTGGCCCATTGCTTTTACGCAGGAGCAGCGGAGCAGCAACCCGGCAGTGGCAGCACCACCACGCCTACCAGCAGCAAGGAGCAGCCGATGGTCCGATTCGCGGACGTTGGGTGTGGCTTTGGAGGGCTCCTAGGTGACTTTTTATATGGGGGGAAAAGGATGCCTATCGGCCACTCGGATCTTGCCATTCTTCGCCCTTCTTGTTGTCACCAAGAAATAGCTAGTCCTCCATTTCGCACTTAATTTCGCTCTTTCTATCATCACCACGCCCCGCCTTTTCTCCTGTTTTGTCGTTAACCTATCCCCCCTGTTTCCAGTTGCACTCGCTTTCTGTCATTTCCTCACTTACCTCCACTACACACTCCATTCTCTATCCCAACCTCCCCTCCCTCCCCCCCCCTCTCTCTGCTGCAGTGAAGCTATCTCCTATGTTTCCAGACACACTCATGGTTGGGTTTGAGCTACGTGACAAGGTATGCCATCCACGTTTCTTACCACGTGTTTCGTTCGCCTCACTTGGTTTCACCTTCCCCTTCCCCTTCCCCTTCCGCTTCCCCTCCTCCCTTCCAACCACATGTCTTGTGGCAGTAAATGCTCTGTATGTCATGCTTGCATGTGCTGTGTGCCATGCCATGCCCTGCACGTGCCATGCCCTGCACGTGCCATGCCCTACTTGCATGTGCCATGTGCCATGCCCTGCTTGCTTTCACACATGGCATGCTTCCTTTCTTCGTCTCGCCACCCCTCTCTGCCCCACAGGTCAGCGAGTATGTCAAGGACCGCATTCTGGCGCTCAGGCAACAACACCCCAACCAGGTAGGCTAAGCTCCCCACTGCTCGTTCTCCGCCACCACCCCTCCCTCTCCCCTCGGCTCCAGCACGATCCCTCTGTATCGTGCTCGTTCCTTCCCCCTGCCCGAGCCCCCAACGCCCCTCTTACGCCGTCGATGCCTTGAAGTAGCACGCCTTGAAGCCACATGTAGTCCCTGTACCCACCCCTCATCCCCCCTCCAGTCCACTGCCTCGTGCTCTCCCCCATCGCTACGTGTTGCCTTCTTCCCCCCACCCCTCCTCCCTCCCACTGCACACCACTATCTCTCTCATTCGCACCAGTCCCATGAAGTAAGGCGCCTGAAGCTGCATGCATTCTCTCTGTCTCTCCCCCCCCCTCCCCCCCAGTACACCAACATCTCACTCATCCGCACCAACGCCATGAAGTACCTGCCCAACTACTTCACCAAGGGACAGGTGGGCTCTCACGCCAATGTGCAACACCTCTGCCACTTCAACGCCCATGCCACTTGATACAGTTATTTGTCTGATTGCAGGCGCTCGTCTGCACGCACTCATGCATGCATTTGTGGGCGTGCATTCAATCGCCATGCACTCTCCGCGGGATGCCATCTGACCACCTCACACATCCGTTTTCTCCCGTGTCTGCATCTATCTATCGTCCCTTCTCTCGCCCTCTCCTCTTCCTTCCCCCTCGCCTTCCTCCCCTGCCGCCCCCTGCAGCTCACCAAGATGTTCTTTCTCCCCCCTCCCTCCCATCATCTCCTCCTTCGTTCCCCCGTGTGCCATGCAGCTGACCAAGATGTTCTTTCTCTTCCCGGATCCGCATTTCAAGGAGAAGAACCACCGCAGGCGAATCATAACGTGAGGCATCTCAATAATAGCAGCCATTGCCATTGTTTACTGAGCTGTGCAAGTGAGTCACCAAATCGTTGCATGCATTACACTGTCCATGGGACTTGCTGCCAATGCTGGCATTAGCTTGTGTGGATGACTGCCAATTCAGGTAGTGGTGAATCACTGGCGCATCTCACCAGTCGCAATTCTCCATTTCCGTGTGCCTTTCATTCCTTCGTGTGTGTATGTGCCCACACCGATTCTGAGTTGATCCGTTTTCCCCCTTTGACTATCCCTCTGCACATGCATTGGAGTTTGCATGTGTATATTATCGTGGGTGTGCGCCTGTGTGCACATCTGCACGCTGTCATGTCTCTCTGTGATCATGTGTGCATGAAGTGCCGTGTTCTTGTGCATGCCGCGACTGATGCGTCCATGCTGTCCCATGCATGCCTGCATGTATCTCCGCATGCCCTGCAATGCCTGTGTGCATGGCCCACAATGCATGTGTCCATGTCGCCATCTTGGCTGTTTCTCTGCAGGACTGCTCTCCTGGCAGAGTATGCATATGTGCTTGCACCAGGAGGTGAGTGACTGTAGTGGGAACTGGGTGTGGAGTAGATATTCTAACAGGTGCAAATGCATATGTGCCAGCAGGCAGCAAGAGGGGACTGACTGAGTTTTTTTAAGACAGAGAGCACGCGGGCAGAAGCTGTATTGCTCCCGTGATCCTTTTCGTGCGACATTGTAACGAGGTGCCTTGTGAGTCGACTCGAAAGTCACCCCGTTACAATGTCACCGAAGCCTGTATTGATCCCACGCTGGATGAACACACTGAGCACTTGATCCTGTTCCTACACTGCCATACCCCGGGTGAACTCCACAAGGCAATGGGAGTTAACGGGATGCCTTGACTTGCGTCAACTCACTCTCCCCGTGCCATCTCGCTGCCACATGCATATGGTACACCATAATGGGCGTGGAGTCTATTTCTGAGGCGCCTAAAGAAATAGACTCCCTTACCCTTGCCCTTTCGCCGCCACAGGCATCATGTACACGATAACGCACGTGGAGGAGTTGATGAGGCCCCACCCACTCCCCCCACCTGTCCCAACCTCTCGCTGCCACAGGCATCGTGTACACGATAATGGACGTGGAGGAATTGGGCGTGCGGATGAGCTGATGCGTGCCCACCCAACCCTGGCCTATCCTGACCCCTCCCATGGCGCACGGCAGGCATCCTGTACACAATAACGGACGTGGAGGAGTTAGGGGTGTGGATGGACGAGCACCTGGCGGCGCACCCTCTCTTCCGAAAGCTGACCCAGGCGCAGATGGTAATTCCTGTCTCTCCTTTGGAGTGTTCTCCTCTTGGACGCATGAACGTGTGTGTGAGTGCATGAGCGCTGGTGCCATGTTGGCGGGCTAGAGAGCACGGATGGATGGATGTGCACATGGCGGCCCACCCTCCCTTCAGAAGGCCGATCCAGGCACAGATGTGACAGCTCTTCTATCCGTGATGTATCCCAGGAGGCATGTGGCATGCAGAGATGGTGAGACTCATGGACCTTGGGCATTGAGGTAGCTGTTTTGTCTACACATGGAGCTTAAGGTTCTTGTTGCCCTAAGGACCATAAGTCCATGTGCAATCTCTCTTTTCACACAGGGACTCAGGCTGCCGCGTCATTAACACTTGGACTTCTTTCTTCGAGGGTGTTTCAGCGGCGCTGCACGCTGCACTTAGTGTGACAATGCCAATGCCTCCATTTTAATGCTGTTGCATGTGCATGTGCATTTGCATGTGCATGTGTATCTGGATGTGTGCATGTGCATGTGCATGTGCATGTCTGTGCGCGTGTGCATGTGTGTGCGCGTGTGTGTGTGCATGTGCATGTGCATGTGCATGTGCATATGCCCGTGTGGATGAATGGGTTGGCATGTTGGTGGGCGGGATGGTGGGTTGGTGGGTGGACGAATGGGTGTGCACGGAAACCACAGGACGCAGACCCGGTCATTCTCCTGCTCGCCACGTCCTCAGAAGAAGGCCTCAAGGTTAGTCTGGTGCCTGCCGGTGTCCTCTCTTTGTTGTTGTTAGATTGCAATCGGTCATACAGCCCGTTTCGACATGCCTTGTGGTGGGCCCCCGTTTTCTTCTGAGTGGGAGGTAGATATGGTTTCAAATGGACCTCGTATGTCCGACATTGAACCCGGAGCGTGTGCCCCTCAGAGCACGTCTCTCACCTGTTGTTTGTCTTTCTTCCTTGGGTGCACTTCTCGCTCTTCCTTGCACATCTCCTTCAGGTGCAACGAAATGGAGGCCGCACGTTTCTGGCAGTGTATGAGCGGGTGGCTGCTGCTGGCAGTGTATGAGCGGGTGGCTGCTGCTGGCCGTATATGAGTGGGTGGCTGCTGCCGGCAGTGTATGAGCGGGGGCTGCTGCTGCTGCGACGGGCAAGGCGTGATCGCTTCTTTATTCAGGCTCCTCAGAAGTGGGTGCCTGCACTGGAACTGAGAACGGAGCGCGCGTGACGGTTATGTGGCTGCGGACGGGCTTTCCGTAAGCTCTGCTATGAGCCTCCTGGTAGCATGTATCAGGGATCCCTTCCAAGAGGCACCCAAGCATGCTGACAACGCCCCTGCAGTTCAGCTCAATACATAAAATACAATCCACAACAGGGCCTAGGAGCGTGTTCCTATGAACCTCTTCCCAGGCAACCTTTTCTAGACATGCAAGGATATGGAGACTGGCCACTGGCCATTGGCCAGACTATGCTCAACTGAAAGCTGTTGTGATAAATGAAGTTTTGCATTCCTGCAAGTTCCGTTTTTGGTGTAGTTAGCAGTATCGAGTTTCTCAGTAAGTAACCATGCCCGAGTGTTGACGTCAGCAAAGCATCGCGGGTCTCGGGATTACGTCAACATATCGCTTCAGTTATGCGATTAGGCGTAATGAGTCATTTCAGTCACGCGAACAGCAGCAACCCTATAGTATGACGAATAGGTCGCATAGCGCGAACAGGTACATTAGCGAACAGGTACTTTCCCTAGAGCTATAAATCCTTGTAATGCCTTTCTATTATTAACCTTGACTTCCGCTGTCTTACTAGTCTACCATTCCAGCAAAGATCCTTGGTTAAGTACTCGTGGTTGCAGATTCTATACTTCGTCTCCTACACCATCTGTAAAATTATTACATGGTATGAGAGCTATATGGAATTAAGACTACTGTCAACAATGACTGGTTCATCACCAGCACCGTCTGCCTGATCAACTTCCGGAACTACTGGATTACATGTCTCCACGACCGCAACTGGACTTTCAGCCTCTGGACCGTTTCCACCGGCTTATGCGAACATCGGTGTGCAGCAGCAGCAGAATCCGCCTACTGTCAGTACTCCAGGGATGTCGTCAACTGCCCCTGCAGCGCAACAACAACAAACACAGGCAACCGCACAACATCAAAACAACAGCACAACAACAGGCATCAGCACAACCACAGTTTTCAACACAGTCTATATCGTCGGCGTTCAGTGGAATGAGCATTGACGGCTCGAGTTATATGCGTGGAGCTTCAGCTCCAAGTACTGGTTCATTTGATTTCTCACCTTTTGCGCAGCAGCCACAGTCACAACAGCAGCAGCAGCAGCATCCCTTTTACATCTTCGGGCGTCCCCCTGCTCAGCAACAGCATCAACAGCCACAACAATTTCAGCAACAGCAACAACAACAACAGCAACAGCAACAGCCTCAACAACCGGGTATTATTTTTCAACCGCCAAATTTGCTTAACAGTACACAGATCAAGACAACCATACCTTTTAACGGAGTGGATTTTTACTCCTGGAGCTTCGAGTTTGAACTTCTGGCGCAGTCCGCTGGGCTTTGGCCGTTCTTCACCGGAGAATTCACCTATCCTGTCGTGGGAACACAACTGGAGCAGCAGAGTTTCTTGCACGCTTCTCTCGGGGCGTATACGGTTCTTGTTCGAAACCTATTGCCAAAGGAGCAGCTCGGCATTCGATTGTTTCGTTTAAGCTTTACGCCAGCTGAAACTGCATGGAACCACTTGAAAGGGTATACATGGCAAAAGATACAATAACAGTGAGTAAAATACTTACGCAGCTGACAAGTGTTCAGATGATGACAAACGAAAATGTCATGGACTACGTCAATCGCGTCCGTACACAACGAGATCAACTGGAGAAAAGTGGGGGATACTTCCCTCGTGAGATGTATCTCACGGTCCTTCTTGCTGGCCTTGGACCCGAATGGCGACAGACGCGCGCCTTCTTGCGCATGAACCCGAACCTCTCCAAAGCTGAAATTTCGTCGTATCTTTAAGCGGAACAGCAAGATCTTGACCTGCAGTCACAACGCAACAAACAGGGAGATGTACAACTCAGTTTCTATTAAACACCAACACAATGTCCTCAATATTTTTGTCACAATTGCAACAAGGCAGGACATTCTACTGACCGGTGCTACTTTAAGAAAATGTATTTACCTCCTGAAGAACCGCAACAGTCTAAATCATTACAGCCGCTACGTCAGCCTTCGAAGCAGTCTTTTCAGCAATATGCGCCTCCAAAAGCAGCATCTGCAACATTAACAAGACCAACATCACTCAGTTCAGCCCCTCAAGCTTCGTCAATCATCGCAGCAGTAGCTTTGGTAACCACTCCACCCATGGACTTCAGCAGCATCGAAGAAGAAAATATGAGTAGCAGCACCACCGACATCCTTGCCGACACACCTGCCGTTAATATCAAGAAAAATATTATTCAACAAGACAAGGAAAATCTGCAACTCGCACCTGAAATATTTTTCGACGCTACAACTACTCTCGATAAGCCTTTTGACAATTCTTCAACTACCACTCTACCGGAGAAAGGTTATGCACTCTCACGGTTTTTACTTCCTTCATATTTCACCATCTTGATTCTTGCGTGGCTGACCATAGCAGCAAGCGAGCTCAGTACCACGCTCCAAACTTCCCTATACTACAGAGCAGCCGATTATCACCCTACGAGCTCCAACGACTACGAGCAAGGCATGGGCATCAACTGCTACCCAACCCCTCGTCATCGCGTTCAACAATGCAACGAAGCAGAATGGTTTAACAGTATCCTACACGAGCTATGTGAGCAGCTGCATGCACTGCTGACTCAATAAATTTCTCTGCCCGAAACTGCACCATCAGATCTGCCCGTCACTTCACGGTTCTTTGCCAAGCCTCCAAATGATGTCGAGGCTCCTCTCCACCACGTGCAACACTCTCGTGGTTTTGCATTCGTCCCCTTTGGCCTTGCCACATTCATTGGCGCAACCCCAACCACTTTCAACCTGACTCATTTTTACGCTGCCGAAGTGAGGGGGGGAAGGAGGATCTACACGCACTTCGTCAAAGCCAAAATTTGTCATCAACAAGGGCAAAACGCGATTGGACTACCATTTGACCAATGGAATGACTGCTGACTACTTACAGCACATGAAGTTTACACGTCACAGATTCCAAATTGCAGATTTCATTCGCCCGACTTCAACAACGACGTGACTACATCGAACTTCCAGGAATGAAGGAGAGTGTTGTGATAAATGAAGTTTTGCATTCCTGCAAGTTCCGTTTTTTGTGTAGTTAGCAGTATCGAGTTTCTCAGTAAGTAACCATGCTTGAGTGTTGACGTCAGCAAAGCATCGCGGGTCTCGGGATTACGTCAACATATCGCTTCAGTTACGCGATTAGGCGTAACGAGTCATTTCAGTCACGCGAACAGTCGCGACCCTATAGTATGACGAATAGGTCGCATAGCGCGAACAGGTACATTAGCGAACATGTACTTTCCCTAGAGCTATAAATCCTTGTAATGCCTTTCTATTATTAACCTTGACTTTCCACAGAATTATGTGCTCAGGTTATTCAACCTTCGACTACCCACAAGTTAATGTGCTCAGGTTCACTCTGATAAGACTTCCGCTGTCTTACTAGACTACCATTCCAGCAAAGATCCTTGGTTAAGTACTCGTGGTTGCAGATTCTATACTTGGTCTCCTGCACCACCTGTCCAATTCTTACAAAAGCAAGGCAGCTGTGCCTTCTAGCCAGCATTCCTGCCCCTGATGCTAGGCACAAGGACATCAATTAAACTGTGTACCTGTGTGCTTGAAAGTGGGGCCATGCTACCTTACCACTTCCGAAACTTCAGAACCCTCTGTCAAATGTAACTTAGGTCGTTACTGTAGACTATACTGGATTGTGCCTTAGAGGGTACAACACCCTAGTCTATATACCCTTGTACCCACATTCTAGTTCAATTATTCTTTCTGATATGGTATCAAAGTAGGTTAGGTTCCCCCCTAGCCCGCCCACACTTCCGCCCCCTAGGCCCTAGCCACCGTCGTGCCCTGCTCCTAGCCGACCCTCCTGGCCGTCGCGCTCGTCCCTAGCCGGCCCCCTGGCCATCGCGTCCGCCCCTAGCCGCCCCCCTGGCCGTCGCGTCCGTCCCTAGCCGGCCCCCTGGCCGTCGCGTCCGCCCCTAGCCGGCCCCCTGGCCGTCGCGCCCGTCCCTAGCCGGCCCCCTGGCCACCGCGTCTGCCCCTAGCCGGCCCCTTGGCCGTCGCACTCGTCCCTAGCCGGCTCCCTGGCCGTCGTGTCCGCCCCTAGCCGGCCCCTTGGCCGTCGCGTCCGCCCCTAGCCGGCCCCCAGGCCATCGCGTCCGCCCCTAGCCAGGCCCCTGGCCGTCGCGTCCGTCCTTAGCCGGCCCCCTGGCCGTCGCGTCCGCCCTAGCCGGCCCCCTGGCCGTCGCGTCCGCCCCTAGCCGGCCCCCAGGCAGTCGCGTCCGCCCCTAGCCTGGCCCCTGGCCGTCGCGTCCGTCCTTAGCCGGCCCCTTGGCCGTCGCGTCCGCCCCTAGCCGGCCCCCAGGCCGTCGCGTCCGCCCCTAGCCGGCCCCCAGGCCATCGCGTCCGCCCCTAGCCAGGCCCCTGGCCGTCGCGTCCGTCCTTAGCTGGCCCCCTGGCCGTCGCGTCCGCCCCTAGCCGGCCCCTTGGCCGTCGCGTCCGCCCCTAGCCGGCCCCCAGGCAGTCGCGTCCGCCCCTAGCCTGGCCCCTGGCCGTCGCGTCCGTCCTTAGCCGGCCCCCTGGCCGTCGCGTCCGCCCCTAGCCGGCCCCCTGGCCGTCGCGTCCGCCCCTAGCCGGCCCCCTGGCCGTCGCGCCCGTCCCTAGCTGGCCCCCTGGCCGTCGCGTCCGCCCCTAGCCGGCCCCTTGGCCATCGCACTCGTCCCTAGCCGGCCCCCTGGTCGTCGCGTCCGCCCCTAGCCGGCCCCTTGGCCGTCGCGTCCGCCCCTAGCCGGCCCCCAGGCCGTCGCGTCCGCCCCTAGCCAGGCCCCTGGCCATCGCGTCTGTCCTTAGCCGGCCCCCTGGCCGTCGCGTCCGCCCCTAGCCGGCCCCCTGGCCGTCGCGCCCGTCCCTAGCCGGCCCCCTGGCCGTCGCGCCCGTCCCTAGACGGGCCCCTGGCCGTCGCGCTCGTCCCTAGCTGCGCCCCCCCCCCCCTGACCGTCGCGCCCGTTTCCTGCTGTCCCACGGCCGCCCCTAGCTGTCTCACGGCCGCCCCCTCGCGGTTGCGGCCGCCCCTAGCTGCTGTCGCTGCCACACCGGTCCTCGCCGTGGCTTCGTTTGCGGTAAGATCGGTCACACCTCCGTCCGCTGTTTCCGTCGCCTGGACGACCTGTTTCGTCAGCGTTTCGGCCCGTCGCCCGAGCTCGCAGACTGGCGCAGTTTGCTTCGTCGTAGGGTTCAGATTTTTTATCTGGATATGGATAA